CAAAAAGGATCATTGTGTCTGATTGTTTAAACTAAAAAAATACAAGTATTTCTTAACGAGCGTCTTTTTTTTTTTTTTTTTAAATAATTCTATAAAAAGTAGATAGAAATTACTTTTTTTTACTGATAGAAATTACTTCTTAAAAAAAAACAAAATCTACTTATTTAAAAAAATGTTTAGACAATCAAATTATTTCGTTTTAAACTGTGTCTTAATAAATAAGAGAATAATACTGTATTGTTACTTTTTATATACCTATATTTTTATTTTGTCACGTCTGTACATCAAAGTATGAAATTGTATCCATCATTTAATACTATTTTTCATATATATATATATATATATATTACTAACTAATAACATTCAATTTTGCTTATCAAAAAAAAAAAAATAACATTCAATTTTATGATGACAGGATATTTGTTTTATAATTATTGAGGAATCCAGTATTTTTAGATAGTAGGGACAATACTCATTTATATATTTGTAATATTAAAAAATTTTCATATAATTTTTAAAAGTATAAATATATATCATAATCATCTTTTTACAAGTTTTTATATCTACGATTACAAGTAAAGATAAAAATAAATTAGGTTATACTAAATTTGGTTATAATTTAATAGATTTGAATATAAATTTTGTTAAAAATATATATCATAAGTATGACTTATTTATCTATCATAGAACTATGATTCTAAAGACCTACCTTATAATAATTTAACACTATTAAAATTATAAAATAAATGTGTTAAATTTCATAAAAAATTAAGTTTAGTTTATTTATGGTATAAACATGTTTTTAATATCTAATATATATTTTTAGATGATAATTTATTTTAAAATATATTTTATAATAACAATTTTAAGTGGAACATAAATTTTCTGATTTTTCTTATTTTAATTTTTTTAATCAACATATATAATAAATAGAAAAAAACAAAAGGTAAACATGCATGTAAATTTTATTTTATCAAAAATTGATTTTTTTTAATATATTACATTATATATATGAGTATTAATATATATATATATATATAAAGTTTGACAGACATCAAATAAATGAATCTCTTCTCCGAATCTATATTTTATACATATAATAATTTAAACATATATATTTATTTTATTAAAATATAATTTTTATTTTTTAAAATATATTACTTTTTTAAATGAAAAAATATGTATGTGTGAAATAGTAGCGGGAAGAATGCCCCCACTACTCACAACGTGGATCTGTGTCAATGTTTATAATACTAATAAATTTTAATAGGTGACTGAATTTTTTAATTATGTTAACAGAAATTTGATTGATTGACTATGTTTATATATATATGGACAAAATTAAATTTATTAAAAAGAGGTTAATTTAATGATATCTATGTCTTAAAATAAATCGTTTGGAATACATTAAAGAAAAAAGGCATTCTTCTATATTATTATCATTATTGGACAGGAAAAAAAGACGGGAGGTAAAGAGGATAACAAAATTTTAGATAAGATTTGAGCCAACATCAAAGCTGACCAGTGAATAAATCTCCAACAGGAGGAATTAACGCATCTTTTCATCCGTAACGAACATTTAAAGTAAAAATGTAACAACTTTATAAAGTATTGAGAAAACAAGTTTTATTACTTAAAAGGAAAGCTTAAAAAAATTAATTATTATCATTTAATTTTATTAAATTTTTTTATTAGTATGAAACGTAAAGAAATAAGGTAGAGATAGAGATAAGGTATAATGAATAAGGTGTTCATAGCATTTGCTAGAACAAAAGGTTTGAGAGAGTTGGTGGACACACATCCAAAATCAAAACTAATTACTCTATCGATTTAAGGTGTGTTGAAAGGAAAAATCTCAAAAAAATTGCATGAAGGAATGTATAAGTAACAATGCTAGCATGTGAATGATATCCATTAAACATGAGTCATAGATTTCACTTGATTCAAAATTGGGAAAGCTTCCAAAGATGTATGCAGGAAGGACATAATCTAGTTATGATAGTATATCAGGATGACAAATTGTTGTTGCTAAAAATAATTTTATTAATTTGATTTAAAACATACTTTTCAGATTTAAATATAAGTAGAATTAATTAATGTGTGTAATTATTGTCAAAAAATAAAATTAGTTTTATAGGACAATATTTAATTTTGTTAACTTCAATTAACAATACATTTATTTTCTATTAAAAATAAACAAATAAAAAAGAGTCGTTAGAAATAAAATTTTAATTAAATGAAAAGTATTTCTAAAGATAATAACATTAAATAGAATAAATTAATTAAAATTTACTTGTATTCTGATTCATCATTGGTAAGATTTATTATTATTATTTTTTACAATCTTCACGAAGGAAAAGATCAACGATGCTCCATCTGGATTTGGCCATATTTTAGTTTTGTCATGTAAATATTGAGTTTTTGTTATATCATGATTTAGTTATGTTAAAACTTATATGCACACATGTTTTCTTATGTCTAGATAATTTTTATCATATAAAAAAACTTATCCAATCTTATTTTTTGTATGCTTATATTACGATTTTTTAACTGGTTATTTCGGCGGCAAGGTACAGCTGCGTCAAGTGAGCCCTAAACCATTTTCTTCTAAAATTCCTTGCATCTCCTTTGGTCTGCAAATAATCTATGAACATACAAAAATATTTGATTTATATATATAATTAAACACTTTCCGTTTGTTCACATAACAGATTAGAGTGAGTTTATTTATTTGACCCAATTTTTGATAGTTATTCATTTAAACTTCAACTCGACGCTACTCATAATCTAATAATATTCGAGGTACGTATAATCTAATAATATTCGAGGGTAAAATCGGAATAATATAGTTGATAATATGTATCAATTTCAATATTATATATAATTAGATATAATAGAGTAAGAGTAAAATTAAGATATATTTATAATGTGTATTTAAATAAATAATATCAATATGCATATAATAGAATTTATTAAGTTAAAAATTATTATTATTATCTAATTATTAAAATCATCATAAATTTCAAAAGAATGTAAAAAATAAAATAATTTTACATAATTAAAAATATAATCTAAATTTATTCTCAAAACACATAGAATTTAATTTAGCTTTGAATGGGTGAGTGTGAGATCACATTGGTGACGCGAAAAACAACGTTGAGGGTGACGTGACGTGACGATGGTACTATTCTTATATTCGAGAATTGGACCCCTACGGTTCATAATTGAACTGCACCGGATGCAATTGTACACGTCCAAATGCCAACTACATTTTTAAAGCAGTTTTCATGATTTATTTATTTTATTTTAATCAAAATGAAATTATTTCTGCAATTAAGATATATGTAGTTAAAAATTGAAAATACTAGGATTAACCTAGTAATCGAAAACAGATGCATAAAAAAATATGCTTAATTAATCTTCATTATTTTCGTTATACTTTTTTATTGATAAAAATTATAATTAAAAATTTATATGAAGACCTAAATTTATATTTTTTTTTCATTTAAGTTATTACATAGTACCTTTTAATTTTTTTTCAAAATGAGTTTTTTAAACTTTTCATTAATTAATTTCAGCTATATATAGTTTTGGTGTTTTTCACTTTTAGATTTTAACAGTTTTTTTTTTTTAATTTTACAATTATTATTTTAATAATTTTATTAAGGAGGGTGTACATTAATTGTTATAAATCTTATTGTTTTTTTTTTGAATTAATCTTCATATTGTATGAAGTATCTACCACAAAAAAAATTATTAATCTTCTATAGAGATTATAAACATTTTGTATTCTCTTTCTAATATAATTTATTATATATCTAAAGTTAAGATTTAAATTTTGAACAACTTGGTTAATGAATACAATTCAAGTTGTTGTGGCTTGTGCCAACCATTATTAGTAAATATCTTAATATTAAGTTTGATTCATATAAATAAAATAAAGAAATAAAATTTTAAAGGACAGTATTTTATATAAATTAGGAACAATAATTTATTTATTGTTATTTAATAAATATAATATATTCATATAATAATTATTTTCATGTATTTTTTGGTTCTATTCTTCTTTAATGTTTCACATATAATATTTAAATTTATCTTTAATTTTATTATGGTGGAAAAAAATCTAAACTAGTAAATTAATAAATAAAAAAATTTGAAGGCCAAAACCACAAAAATTAACCATTTCTTCCATCTAAATATATTTGTATCTAAAATCAATATTTTTCCCATTTATTCTCTTCATCTTTTGATATATTTTAAAAATTATATATTACATTAATTTTGATTTAAATAAATGAGATATCAACTAATTTTGGATTAATATAAGATTTTATAAATATGATATATATGAAATAATCTTTCAATCAAACGATAATAAGTTTTAAAATAATATTATTCAACTAAAAGTTATTAAATAATATAATAGTTGATAAAAAAATTATATCGATATAATTTTATTTTTCCATCTATATTATGATAAGTGAGAGATTGAAATAATATCTAAAGTGTCCTAAATTTGAACCATATTAATGTTATTGTAATTCATACGAATAAAAAATATTATTAATATTAGTATATTGAAATAAAATATATCAATATATTATATTCACATATTATGTATAAAAAAAAGTCAATTTAAGAAAAACATATTATTAATTATTAACTATTTAAGCTTATAAGTTTTAAAATATTAAATGAAATTAAGTGAAATTAACTAAACCTAAATCATAGATGTATCATAATTTAAGTTGAATTTTCATTGTTAATCATTTTCAGCAAATAAGTGTTCGAAAATGATTGTTCATTATATAGCAATAGCAGCGGTATTTGAATCAGTTGTCTCTCAATTTTTATTTATAGACATGATACAAATTAACGATATCTCAAAGGTGATGAGGTGGATTAATGGAGTTGGATATTTGTTGTCTCTCACTTGAAATGTACGTAGGTTATAGAGTATTTAATCTCATGCAATTAAGCTAATGCATGTATAATTAATCTTCTTCCACATGACATCGACATGAGCAGGCAGCAGTATATATATAGAACTCTTCTTCTCCTCTCTATCCATTGCATTCTAACTCATCGATCCAAAATGCACCCACTAGTCCTAGTCCTAGTCCTAGTCCTACTGCTATGCTCTTTTCCTCTTTCAACCCTTGCTCACTCACTGCCACTCTTTGACCACAACGCCGCCGTACCCGAAACCCTTGAACTTGACCTAACTGCAAATAAAGCTAAAACTGCCTACCTCGTCAGTTTCAATGTCAAAACTTCAGGTCAAGAAACTGTACGATTGAATGCCACTCTAGACACGGGAAGCGATCTTACATGGTTCTTTGGCTTGGATTGCCAGGATAATAAATGTTCCTGTAACCGTGAAGAATGCATCAAAGAGCCTGACACCAAACCTGAAGGAGCGTGTGAAGAGTGTCGTAAGCTCCACGAAGAAGAAAAACTGTTAGAAGTTAAGATTTTTCTAGATACTTTAAGAAAAAAATTATAAGTATTAAAATCAAAACTCATCATCTTAGAGACTAAAATTATATTTAAATAAAAAATTTATTATCAAAATATCTTATACACCAATACTCTCAGATATAAAAGTATTATACTGTCATTTTTCCTTATATTAAAATATACTTTTTTTCTCTTAATAAATATTAATACTTTACATGTAAATAATTTATATCTTAATGTATATATTTAATTATTATTTAATAAAA